GGGGGGGGGGGGGGATATAAGACGACCTCCCAACTTTTCAACACAAAATGCAGAGTTAGGGATTACTTGCTGTTTAAGATGACTCCGCATTCCATGGACACTGGCTGGGCCCTCCTCCGCCCCGCAGCTCATGCCAGTGGCCTTGCCTTAGGCCCAAGGAAATGCCTCTGGAAGGTGACTTCCAGCAGCCCTGTGCAGTGGCGTGCCTGGGATATGCTTGCTAAGGCATTCTGGGAGCTGTAGGAGTCTATCCATGGTTTTAAGTGGTTTATGGCTCGCTGTTTGCCTCCAATAGCTAGGTGCCTCTGATCACCTTTTATCCTCAACCCACTTGGCCTTGGTTTCCCCTTGTGTTCCTCCTGGCAAATCCACCATAACTGGTTGTGCTCCACTCCATACATTTCCCATCCCTCCCCAATCCTGGTAATAACATTTCTCTTTTGCTGCAACAAATAGGTCTCGCAAATCGCAGCCGCGGAGTGCTTTGGAGAGGCTGCCTGAAGAGGCTCTTGAGCAGTGGGGAGATACCTGGAAGTGCTCCTCATTGTTTCCCTGAGAGAAAGCCACCACCGGGGCTCTCAGAATGCCTCCGTGAGCACATCCCAGGCATGCTGCTGCCAGGGTTGCAGGGAGCCGTTGTCTTGAGAGCCGTAGGAGTCGCCAGGGCTGCTGGCAGGAGTAAAAACCCAATTCCTGGGAGTAATCTGCAATTGCTGCTGCACCTAAGCTTTTCCTATAGGCCCCTCCCACCAGGAAAAGCCAGGAAATGAGAGGGGGAAGGGGAAGGGGTCTGTCCTCCACCAGAGAGCCTCTTGCAAAGCCTAATATTGTCTCTCTCAGCAGATGAAAATAAGGCCATTGAGCCCCGTGGCCTTCGAAGGAGGTGAGTGTTGGGGGCAGAAGAGGGCCATGAAAGTAGAGCAGGGAGAGCGGCGGGGCCCACGGGGACAGCTCAGTAGGTGATCACCCCCGGCCGGTCTCCATGGCAATATGGCCTGCCACTCCTCCTCCCCGTGCCCTCCATCTGCCCTCCTCCTCCCTCCTAAGGTAGTTGTATTTAATTTTTTTAAATTATTATTTTTTTAATGTTATACCCGGTGTACTAGACGACCCCCAATTTTTCATAAGATTTTCCAGGCCTAAAAAGTCGTCTAGTATGCCTGAAAATACGGTAGCTAGATTTGTTATAACCAGGATAACAGCATGATGTCTTTACCTATCACAGTACATTTGGTTGTCTTTCCTGAAAATAAACCCTCTCATTGTAGCACTGTAAACTGCTGAGGGCCAGTGGATATAGTACAGTAGAGGATTACATGTAACAACTGAATAGAGATGATTCAAGACCAATGAATATGAGAAATGTTTATCATTACAATGCCTGGTTTCCTAATAAAGTATACACAGATATTGAAAACAACTGCTTTTTGGAACACAAGTCACTCACTAGTATGACTTAGCCATACTGGCAATTGAATTGTGGAAGGAATTATTTTAAAACATATTTCAAGTTCTGAACACAAAATACACTTTTTTAAACAGACCTGGACATACTTTTTGTCCTTACAGCCAGTCCCCAAGTTACGATCAGGATAGGTTTTGTAGTTTTGTTCTTAAGAGGAATTTCTTTATAAGTCAAAACAGGTATATTTTTTCAGCATAACTCCAGCCGTGTGTGTGTGTGTGTGTGTGTAGCTTTCTCTAGCACAGGGAAGAGTTAAAACCCCCATGGTGTTTGCTTGGCTGACTGTGCCCTTCTTTAGAAGATTCCATCTCACTTCCTGTCCCTGTGATAATTGGATTGTGAACAATTTAGCTTGTTGTGGAAACAGGGATTGGGGATAAAGCTTCAGTTGAGACACCTTTTCCCCATAATAACTCTTTCAGGAGTGAATTTCCCTTCCGATGGGCAGATTTCTCTCACTTCCTATTGTCTCAGCCCCGTTCTTCACTATGAGTCGTTTGTAAGTCAGATGTTTGTAACTTGTAGACTGCTTGTATATTCAAAATTGCTTATACCAGTACTTATTTTTGGTGAAATATATACATTTTGGTATGTTTTAACTTTACAGATTCATGAATTGCACTTCATAAAGAGATTCTTTTTATGTTTCTTTTTTTTTAACAAGTGGGGTTGAGGGCAGTGCTGTGGGGAAGAATGGAGTCGCAGCATCCTCTAGAGGGAGGAGGGTGTTTTCCACTTCCTCCATGGAAGAGAGATTCTCTTATACAGAGTTTCAAACTATAGTCAGACCTCCACATTTGCAGGTTTGACATGTGCAAATTTGATAATTCATTAAAATCTTCTCTCTAGGAATCTCTAGCCCATCAGTGCAAGTCTATGGTCAACTTCCATTGGAAGTTGAGAATAGAGCTTTACAGGAGAACATAGGCAGTCCAAGAGAAGTTATCTTTCATTTGCATTTTTTAAACTTTTGTGGAGATGCTATGCCCCTAACCCCAGTGAATTTGGAGTGCCTGCTGTACTTCCAAAAGCCTTTTAAGTGGCAGTCCTAAGATAATTTATGAGTTTGTAAACATACCTGTCAGTGTTTCTCAGAGTATCTTATGTGGGAGATTAGTATGGTTTTCCATGCTGTTTGAGGGATCAACCCCAAATTTGGGCCCATTGAGTAAAACTGTTTATTTCTTTCCTGGAAGCTTACCACGGCTTCAGCAAACAGCTCTTGGGCCAGCTCTGGTTCATGAACCATTACTTTCAGTAATACTCTTACAGACTGTCTCATGTAATCTCTTGCATGACACAGGAAACAAGGTTTGCTCAGGAAAAGGCTGTTCCACTTGATCTCTAGTGAGGGAACTTCTACCTCACTTCTATGATTAAGTGTTCTAGCCTAAGGTTCAATTGAAATGAACTATAACCAAGGCCCATTAAATATATCTGGAATAGCAGAACATGAGACTTTGCCAACCCTTCAGATGTCTGAAGAGTAGTATCCTGTCCCTCCTCACTCTTTTCTTCTGCAGGACAGAGCAACATGGCTGATAGTTGTGTTTTGGTCAACTTACTCTTGGTGTTCTTGTTGTTGTTCAGGAATATGCCGAACGACTTCATAAATTGTACCATGAAAATCATGGCCTTGGATAATATCAGAGCCAGAAACAGACTGACTTGACATCTGAAAAGAAAGAGAAATATATCCTATTCTCAGAGCAAGACAAACAACACCTGAAATGGAGCCTAAAACAGAACTAGATTAATGAAGCACAGTAGATATCCAATCTGATGTTGGGGACTGGAGACCCACATTCAAATCTTTGCTCAGTGATGTTGTTCATGGGGAGATCTTGAACCATTCAGTTTCCCAACGTAATTGATTTCATAGGGTGGTGCTGAAAATTAAAATGAGTGGGGGTAGCATGTATATAATTCTTACTAAGGGGAGGGTTTGGTATCACTGTACAAGATACAAATCTAAAAATATCTGTTTATTCCCTTTAGAAATGGCAAGTGCTTTTTCACTGTAGGCAAAGTAGATATCACATGAGAAACCAATATGGCTCTCAGGTATTGCCCTAGATATCCAAGAGCTCACCCACTGCTTCTTGCAGAAAGGTTTTATGATCTCTACATATAATATTGTGACTTGCCAATGTCAAATGAAGTTCATTAGATTTAAGAAGTGGTTAACACGTGACTGAAGAACAAGGAATAGTGAAGAGAAGAAACAGTTTTCTTTCATCATGCCAAGTTTAAAAACAATTTTTAAGCCAATTACTTTTTATCAATATACATTAAAGCAAGGGCCCCTTG